TAAAACTAAAACTATTTTTGACCTCGAAAAGAAAAAAAGTATTTTTCGAATATATCATAGAGTAATAATTCGAGTCGATAAATTTTTGTTTTAAAAAATTGTTTCGAAAACGGAAACTAATAATATATAATTGTTTAGTCGTTATTTATTGTATTGAAAAACTAAACAAAAAATAGAAAAGCAAAGAATTAAACCACATACCTCTAGTGCACAAAATAACCCCTATACCATATGAGCTATGCTTCTTTTTATTGAATATTGGTACAATTAGTATAAATATTTAGTTATTATTTACCATGTTTAAAAATTGAAAGAGAGAACGTTCTTGAAAGGAATTGAACACAAATATCTCACATGGAATTGCATCCCCTCTCCCAAATGATCTACACATTATTTTAATAAAAAATTTACAATAATATATATATAATTATTTTTCATAAATCTTATCTAATTTTTTTCCTAACGGATCCAACACAAGCGGCAATGCCGGCTCATCGGGTGCTGGATCCGTCCTGACTGAGCCCCTCTTTGGGCATTATTTTTGGGCCAACATGATTTTAGAATAGTATTTTGTTAGAAAACTTATGATTAAAAAATAGGAAAAAAATTGAATTTGCATATAAAATTATTTTATGGGATAATGTATAGTCCAAAATGAGTTTTGAAAAAAAAACGCAGGATCTCATCGCTGACATTAATAGTTGAGCTTGTAAGGAATTTCAAATTCTTCACAAGAATGAATATTATCAATTTGTAGTTTTAGGATACCTTCATTTCCTGATATATCGTGTTTGATTTTACTTAAAAGTGGTATTCAAAAAGCGTAAAACGTGACTACGTGGAGGACGAGATTCGGCCTAGACAAGCTTAGGAAAAGCCCAGGCATTAGTAAGCGTAAAAAAAAAATTCTTATTTTAAAATTATTTTAAATTTCTAAATCAATCTAAAAATTATTTAATAATTAAAGGAAAAAAATGAGTAAAAAAAGTATAAAAGAGCATGCTAGCATGCCCAGGCGTGAAAAAGAAATTAAAAAAAAAAAAGCACAAAACGAGACGTTTTGCTTCCGCTTCGTGCTTACGCCCAGGCGCCGACATGGTGACACTGCTTAAAAGTAGAAAAAAATAAAATAAATCAAGGGTGCAGCAAGAATAAAGTTATTATAACCAATCAATCTTCTACCTAGACTTCGGAATATCACCAGTTTGCAAATCTGGTTAGGCACTTGGGTATATTAGTCACACAAAACAACCATCCGAAATTAGAAATAAACATTTTTCTGAATTTTCCGTTTGAATTTCTCCAAGTACGTTGGGGGTACCGGGAACTATTCTACGTTCAGTTTTCATGATAGAATAGTTGACATTAACAGAAATTTTAACTTCATTTAACACCGTTCGGTACATCCAATTTACCTTTGAAATGCCATTAAGTATAATAAAATAAAACTGAAAGGATAAGTTTGCAAAGCATCATTCTGAAAGCTAACTTAGAGCAGCAAATGGAAAGGAATGGATTGAAAAAACTCATCAACAAAGTCACTTATTTCAAGCTACACAGAGTGAAAACACAGCTACCAAACATAAGCAGATACAAATCAATATTCATAGACATCACTTAACTTTGACTAGCTTAGTAACACCCAGGTCTCTCCATATCCCATTTGCTCAAGAAGTCTTCTCCATATCTACATTATATCGAAATGAAAGGATGAAAAACAGTGAATAAAAGTTTCAAAGAGATGCATGGTTAATCACGTCAAAGGAATATAAATTGCTATGAACTGGCAAAGATATTGCAATTGCCATCCATAGAGGTTCATGTCTAGGTTCAAAAATTCTACCGTGCATATGATTAGTAGATTCCATCCTTTCAAAGAAGAAATACCACCATGATAACCGAGAAGTTACATCCTATCCCTTTTCAGTCTAAATTGTAGTTTAATTATAGTATTGCCAAGTAGAACGATATACTGAACAAATACACGCGCTGGCAATTTCTGTCCAAACTCGGTACTCTTTTAAATAACAAGTTTTTGTTGCCTACTTTCTGGTTTTAATTAGTTTTTGAATCCAGTTATGTGGAATTTCAGGAATGCATCCAGTTATACTTCCACAAAGGTTGCTAAAAAGTTCTTTTGAATCTATAGTCCGATTCATCACGCTTCCAGTGAAAACCCCATTAATCAATCCATTCAAACACCAGCCACAACATTCCTTTTCGAACTAAACGGCACGCTGTTTCAATCAATTATCAGAAAAGCGCATTATACCAAATCCAAACTGTGGTCTTATGTTTTTCCTCACCTCCTTCATTTTTCTCTCATATAATGCAATATTACGATTCAATAACACAACCAAAAACAGACATGAATTGATGGTTATATGCATTTCTAATAATTATCTCATACTTGTAGTTTTGTCTGAAGCATCATGGTACTCGGGCTCCTCTTCAGGCACTGAATGCAGACTCAAGTCATCCTTGTCGACGGCCTTAGCTGAACCCCCATTGCCAATGCCAGCAGCATTAGCAAAGCCCCCATCTTTCTCATCTGGATACCTCACCACCACAATTGGGCACACGCAGTGCTGCACACAGTAATCACTCACACTCCCAAGCCTCCCTTTCGTGCTCCTCCTCGACGCCCCCAATCCCCTGCTTCCCATGATCACCGCACTCAACCCGAGCCTCTCCACTTCCAAACACAGCCTCTCCTTCATGTCGTGGTCCTTCACTATATGGATCTTGAACGGAATATTCGCCTCCACCAAGGG